GCTAAAATTAAAAAAGAACCAAACGACTTTTGTTAAGAATGTGAAACAATATAATTAGTACTATTTATTTACTAGTATTTAGTTCATAAATCAAATTTCTAAATATGTAGTTCTAATAAAATATTTTATCAGATACAGGTTAAATCAGCCATAAACATAAGACCTTGCTTTAACTGAAGTTTGCTATCAGTAGTCATTAGGAAAATGACTATCACTTGTACTGAATTAAAGATTATCTTTACTTACTGTGTTTTTGGATGGCTCCCAGGCAGCATCGACCTTCCCAACATCTTGCATATCTTGGAGCTGACGTAGCTGAGACAAGGTGTGATGCCTCAGAGCTTCGTGCAAAGGAGTATCCCCGTCTTTATCCTGAATATCTAATTTGGCACCTGCACGGACCAAAAGCTAAAAGAGAAAGACATCTCATTTTGCTAAAGTATTCCTGCCTGCAAGAAATTACAACATATCTAAAGTAACAGTGAGAGAGCCCTCGACCTACCTGAAGGGGCTGCCACTAAAGCCAATAATTTTTATGTATTTGCTTGCTGCTACTCTATACCCCTGTGGCTCCTTACAAATAGTGATGACTTCTGGTTGTTCAAATATATTGAATTAAAGAAAAAACAAATAATGAGGACCAATATGTTGCTTAATTCACCTACTCTAACATCAAGATAACGGGGGGAAATTTAAGACATTGCTTTTCTCCTTTTAATTTCAAATACGTGAGGTGGGATAGGCCTTCCAATAGGACCAAATCATATGTTCATAATTCTTCTATTATTTAAACACACTCAAAAGTTATTATTTGTTCCATTCTCTTTGGTTAATTTTCTACAAATGTATGGTCATAAAGAGAGTCCAAATATCACAGATAAATGAAGAAATTTTAGCAAGAGGAATTTTAACAATAAATGTGAAGTGTCTGCTAAACTATAACCTCGTACATAAAATGCATTAATTGTTATATTTTAATAGATATTTTAAGTAGTAAACATAACTTTATTTAGGTTTTGCTTATGGTACTTAAACAATTTTCTTAATCCTTTTTACAAATGCTATCAGTTTTCGAAAAACACCATACACAGAAACCAATCTCAAGCATATGGTCTTCTTACCTGTCTTGGCAAACTATTGGGTCGTCGGGAAAGTCATGACGTATTTTTCTACGTTTTTTAATGCAAAAATGCGTCATAACTTTCCCAATGACCCAATACATGTTTTTGTTTTTTTGTTTGTTTGTTTTTACTTTGTTCCTAAAAGGTGAACATAGAATATCACTCTAGAGCAATGGTTCTCAAATTTGAATGTGCATCAGAATTTCCTGGAGGACTTGTTAAACCACAGATTGCTGGTTCCCATCCTTGGAGGTTATAATTTGGATATCTGAGTGGAGCCCAAGAATTTACTTTTCTACTAAAGTCTCAGGTGATGCTGATGCTGCTAGTTCAGCCTCTAAACTTTAAGAATCACTGCTCTACCAAAACATTTTCAATAATCTTTCAAATATTTTCTCTGGAATCACCAGGATTAGTAAAATAAAAATATATTATTTCAGCTTTTTTGGAATCTGTGCAGCAAATGTCCAGCCAAAGCTTTCAATTATATTGTAATTCAGTCTCAATTTTATAAATTAAGAGGGAATGTACTTTTAGAAAACTAATTTATATATTATTCTGAAATTCTCTGATTTAAGATTCTGGGAATTCACAAATCTGGCAACAAAATTATAAAGACTTTAAACATCGGAGTTTTAAGATATTCCCTACTATAAATTAAATTGATATAATAAAATATTAGCGTAAAATCATGATTTTTACATCTAACTATGCCTTTGAAGTAATATAACAATGCATTATTTCAAATTAAATTGATATAAAATATTAGCCTAAAATCATGATTTTTACATCTAACTATGCCTTTGAAGTAATATAACAATGCATTATTTCAAATTTCAAAACATTCTAGAAATCTGTCTGGTTAAAATACAACTGTAAACCAAGATTCATGTTAGTAAACACTTTACCCTCACAATCTGGGTGTGCTGTCGTTCAACAGCAAGGTGTAGGGCTGTCTGTTGGTTCACATTCTGGATATCCAGGTTTGCATTACCCTGAAGAAGAACAAAGTTTACACAGTTAAAATTTGACAACAGTGAAAAACACTAGAACTGTTAAGTCTTTGTGAGAAGTAACACTGGATACTGCTGACCATTTTCCTCTCCTCTAGCTGCTGGGACATTGTTTTCATATGGTTAACAGCTGCGGGTAACATAGGGAGAATTAAACAGGGCAGCAAACTTTCTGAAGTAGAGCAGCAAGTTAGAACAGCAAGTTTAAAATTAATTTTATTATGGTAACTTCATCTAAAAACAGCTGAAAGACAAAAGACACTACAGAATCAAACAGCTCCCTTTCTATCTCTATTAAAGAGCAATGGAGATAATCGGCTCCTTTTAACTGTAAATATTTCCTGGAAAGTTGTACTAATGAGTGGATTTAGATTTACTTTAATGATCTACCAAGGTCACTTCCTCTTGCTACATAATTGAGCTCTTCCTCCTTTAGTGAAAAAGAACTTTGAGGGTGAGAAGACAATGCCTAATTAGTACACAGAAATACTGTATTTATTAAAGAAAGAGCAGAATGTCCCACCACAGTCCTAGGATAGCTAAAAGACTATGTAAGAACTGAAGCCAAGGATAGAAGAAAGGGACTGAGAAGCAAAAGCACTGAACTTGGTGCCAGGGGACCTAGGTTCAAGCACTGTCATTTACGGGCTTTGTGAACTTAAGCAAGCATTATACCATTTTATGTCAATTTCCTCAGCTCCAAAAATAGTAATAGCACAACCTACTGTATCACAGGGTCAATATGAAGATTTTAAAAAGTAACATGTAAAACTGCCTTGGCAAAATAAAAAATAAATGAAATTGAGAAACGGGCTACAGGTTCAAAAGATAAACTTTACCATTCTTTTTATGTCTTTGAACCATTCATGCCCTCTGATTACAACTCTGATACCCAAATGTGCCCTGCTTGGAGCATCAGTAGAGCTGAAACTCTAGAAATGCTATGACATATTCTAGAAGATGGGAGTGTCTGGTTTGTTTTTTTGTTTGTTTTTTTTAAGATTTTTTATTGGGAAATTGGGGAGTGGAACAGTGTTGGGGAATTGGGGAAGTGGAACATTTTGTTTTTCCAGGACTCATCAGCTTCAAGTCAAGTTGTTGTCCT